GCCTGGTGAGCCTCCGCCACTCAGGGCCTAGCCTGGTCCAGTCCCCCGTACTTCCTCCGACTCCTTACCTTGGCCAGGGAATCTTTGTGATTGTGGAACTATTCTAAACGCATTCCGGTTTTCCAGAATCTATTCTGTATTCTGAATGGTAGTGTTTTTGCTTGGTGCATGTGCTTGCCAGAGAGAGAGAAAGAGGGAAAATGAAAAACCACCCCCACCACTCCCCAAGGGAAATGACCGTGCCGCAATCCCTCCATTTTCCTCTGGAGATTTTGGGCACACAGGCGCACATGTCCAGTGTGTTTCTCAAACGTAGTCAGCCATTTGGGATCCAGACGCCTTAACCACCTTGCCACCAGGTGGCCCCTGAATGGAAATTTTTACTCAGACATACATGGTGTAGCCTACTATGCATCTAGGCTATATGGTCTACCCTACATGTTCCATATAAACCTAGCCAGTATATACAGTCTTTTTGGCCAAATGACGTGACTGTATATGTAAAGCTCTACAGCACTCAAAGAATTCTCAAAAAGATTCTGTTTTTGAGGAAAATGAGAAAGAATATTTGGAGGAAAATGAACTCTCACCATATGATATTTCTGACTCTTGTAAATTTATTGCAAGAGAGAGTGAGAGGGAAAGATAACGTGCCCCTACTCGCAGCTTCAGCCAGCCCTGGACCCCAGGCGCACTGGGTGCCTCGTATATGCAGGGAGGTCTCTAGATGCATGTCTGGAACTTTCCCACGTGGGTCTGTCACACAGAGCATCACATTTTACTACGGCACCATCATCTAGCCCTATTATTTCTAACTTCTTTATATTATTGTTGTGCAAACTATATGATAAATTCCTTTTTTAGAAGAATTATTTAAGTTTATTATTGATTTTCAGTTTTCCGTAGGGCATGTACAGTCACCAGAGAGAGGTAGAGGTAAAGTGAGAAAGCAAGCCACCAGGCCCAGGACTCGAACTATGGTCAACAATGTGAGAGTCCAGTGCCTTAACCACCACACCACCTGAGAAACTGTTAAGAAAATAAGATGCTCTCTTTTCCCTCCCTTCTTCCCATAGGTTATTTAAATTAAAAAAAAAAAAAAAAGTGTTCTTCTTTCACCAATCCCTCCACTCTGGCTTCAGATACTTCTTAGTTACCTACCAAAATCTGAAATTCAAGATAACTTTTTTTTTCCTTCTTTTTTTTTTTTTTTTTGGAGAGGTTTTTGCTATAGGGCGTGTGCACTCACTAGACAGAGGGAGACAGAGAGACAGAAAGCAAGAGATCACCCCTTCAGGGGGGATGGCCAGGCCGCAATCCCTTCTTCTCCATTCTCCTCTCGGGATCTTGGGCACGCATGCACACACGCCTGGCGTGCGTTTTAAGCCACCGGGTCCGGAATGCGAACCGTGGTCGACTACATGGGAGTCCAGCGACACAGCCATTACTCTAACTGCTGGTCCCAAGATAACTTTTGAGAGTCTAACACTCCCCGTGATTTGTGGTGTTCTCCAGGCAAGGGGCCTTTCCCTGGGATCATCGACCTGTTTGGAAGTGGCGGTGGCCTTTGTGAATACAGAGCCAGCCTCCTGGCTGGACATGGTTTTGCTGTGCTTGCTCTAGCTTATTTCCGATTTGAAGATCTTCCTGACTATTTGAATGATATGCGCCTGGAGTACTTTGAGGAAGCTGTGGACTTCATGCTGCAGCATCCAGAGGTGAGTTCTGGTACTTGCCTGAGTGCAGATGGGCATGGGACTGGGTCTAAAAGCCTGCCAGGACACTGGAGCTGAAAATAAACCCGGAGACACAGAGGCTCCTTCAAAAGGGTTTTAGGATTATTGTGTTCATTTCCACCTATCTGTCTTCAATCCCTTCAGACTCAGCTTTTAGTTTACTTCATAATTGTAGTTGACCATAATTCAAAGAGCACTGGACTAAAAAGTTACTAACCTTGAGTTCTGGTTCTGCATCTACCACAAAGAATCATGATGATCTTGAATAAAGCAATTGCCCGCTCTAGGGTTTACTTTTTCTCATTTATAGGATTAATGTAGGTCTGGCTCTGTGACCTTGTGGTTAAGGCAACCAGATTCCACATGAGGAGTTTTGGTTCAAGTCACAGTCCCAGCAGCTTGAGAAACACGCTTGGTGCTTGTGTGTGCATGTCCCAGATCCCAACAGTATGGAGAAATGGAGAGGGGATTACAACATGACCACACCACGTTGGGGAGTTACTGCTCTCCCTCTGTCTCTCTGTCTCTCACAGGCAACTACACCCACCTTCTAGTTAAAAAAAAAAAAAAAGATTAATATAAACTTGGGCCAGCAGATGGCAGGTGTTTGAGGCACTGGACTCCCACATGGTTGACCAGGTTCGAGTCCTGGACCTGGTGGCTTGCTTTCTCACTTTCTCTGGTGAGCACACACGCCCTATAGCAAGTTAAAAAATAACAATAATAAATACACTTAAACAAATAATAATTCTTTTTATTAGAGGTTTTTGCCTTAAAACATGTGTGCTCACCAGAGAGAGACAGAGATAATGAAAGGAAAAGTCAAAAATCACCCCCCAAGGGGAATGGCCATGCCATAATCTCTTCTCCTCCATTCTGTTCCTAGGATCTTGGGCACACATGCACACACGTTCGGTATGATTTTCAAGCCACAGTCGGCAATGTGGGAGTCCAGTGACATAACTTCTATGCCATCTGCTGGGCCAACAAAGAATTCCTTAAAAGAGATTAATATAAGGACCAGCAAATGGCATAATGGTTACAAGGTAGGAGAAAAGAATATATTTTACTTAACAGTTTGTTCATTTGATTTATAACTTTTAAGTGTTTAGGTATAGGTTATAGGGGCCTCTGTATGCACTTTACCCAGTCCTCATAAATATTAGGGTATGGCCTGTGTACAAGAAATCAACTGATTTGCTTCTTAGAAGACACACTTGAACTTTGTAGATTGTTGCATAGGAAAGAAAGCAATTGGTATTTGAGAAAGCAACTTAGAGAACGTAAAATCACTAATAATCATCATTATGTCTTCTGTTTGTGAAATCTAATCTTAACTCTCTCTCCCCTCCCCATCAGGTGAAAGGCCCTAGTGTTGGGCTTATTGGCTTCTCCAAAGGAGGTGACCTGTGTCTCTCAATGGCTTCTTTCTTGAAGGGGATCACTGCCACTGTACTTATCAATGCCTGTGTGGCCAACACAATAGTTCCTCTGCATTACAAAGATATGACTATTCCTAGTCTTGAGGGTGACTTAAAGAAACAGAAAATCACTGAGTCAGGCCTTTTGAATTGGGAGGATGTGTGGGACAATCCACTGGAGGAACCCAACTGCCAAAGTCTTATTCCATTGGAAAAGGCCCAGGGGCCCTTCCTGTTTATTGTTGGCATGGATGATCATGACTGGAAGAGTCCATTCTATGCTTGTATAGCCTCTGCACGGTTACAAACCCATGGGAAAGACAGACCCCAGATAATCTACTACCCAGATACTGGTCATTGTATTGATCCACCTTATTTTCCTCCTTGCATAGCCTCTGTGCACACAGTGTTGGGCCAACCAATATTCCATGGAGGTGAACCAAGGGCTCATGCAAGGGCGCAAGAGGATGCCTGGCAGCAAATTCAAACTTTCTTTCATAAACATCTTGATGCTAAAAAATCTGTTAAACTCAACAAAATATAGCATTGCAATTGTAGACCAGATACCATTAATAAAAATCTTACTCAGGACCAGTTGGTGGTATGGTAGTTAAGGCTGTTGGGTCCCATATGGCTGACTGCATGGTTTGAGTCCCAGACCCAGTGTACCCAGGCATGTATATATGCATGTCCAAAATCCCAAGTGTGTGTGTGGGGGGGACCAGCAGTTGGTGTAATGGCTATGTAGCTGGACTCCCATGTGGTCTACTGCAGTTCGAGTCCTAGACCCGGTGGCTTAAACAAACGACTGCGCATGTGCGTGCGTGCCCAAGATCCCGAGAGGAGAAAAGAGGAGAAGGGATTGCGGCGTGGCCATCCCCCCCTGGGGGCTGATTTCTCGCTTTCTGTCTCTGTTTCTCTCTGTCTCCTTGGAAAAAAAATGCACCCTGTAGCAAAAAATCTCTCAAAAAAAAAAAAAAATCCCAAGAGGGGAATGGAGAAGGGGTTGTAACACCTCCTGAGGGGCATTTTCTTATTTTTCCTTCTCTTTCTCTTTATCTCCAGCTAGTACATGAACTCTATAGCAATTTTTTTTTTTCTTTTGGAGAGGTTTTTGCTATAGGGCACATATGCTTGACAGAAAGACAGAAAGAGATAGAGAGACAGAAAGCAAGAAATCACCCCCCGGGGGGATGACCATGCTGCAGTCCCTTCTCTTCCATTCTCCTCTCGGGATATTGGGCACACACGCATACGTGCATATGGGTCTGGCGCTCGAACCATGGTTGACTATATGGGAGTCCAGCGACATAGCCATTACGCTGACTGCTGGTCCCTATATCAAATTTTTAAAAAAAGAGAGGCCAGCAGGTGGTGTGTAGTTTAAAGTGCTAGATCCTGCATGGCTGACCATATGGTTTGAATCCTGGACCCTGCAGCTTGGCAAGTGTGTGTATGTGCCAAAAATCTTGAGAGGAGAATGGAGGACAAGGGATTGTGGTGATCCTCCTGGGGGATGATTTCTCACTTTCCCTCTCTCTTTTTCTCTATCACTCTGGTGTTCTCATATACCCTATAACAAAAACTAAATAAAAGAAAAAGGAATATCAGGTAAGTCAGTGGAGTGATAAGTTAAGGTGGTTGGATCCCACATGGCTGACTACACAATTTGAGTCCTGGACCTAGAGGCTCAAAAAACACTCCTGGTGACCGTGGTTCGAGTCCTGGATCTGACAACTTGAAACTCACACAGGGTATGTGTATGCACATGCCTAAAATCCTGAGAGGACAATGGAGAAGAGACTACAGTGTGGCCATCCTTCCTGGAGCGGGCGGGTGGATTTCTTGTACCCTATGGCAAAAACCTAAGAAAGAAAGAAAACACTACTGGTGTGTGCCCAAAAAGCCAGGAGGAACACAGAGGAGAAGGAATTATGACATGACCATCCTGACATATAGCCCATGCCTTAAGCACTCATCAAGGTTGTCTTTCTACTGATCATATAGCCCATGGTCTTTTCAGACCTCAGACCTCCCTTTTCTTTCTTTTAGACAATAGGATACCTGCCAGTAATCGAGATCAGGCCTCTGCCAAAGAATACAGCCTGAACCAGTAGAACAAAGATGGCTCCTTGGAACTACTGCTGCTTACCTTTCAAGCTCTTGTGCCCTCATTGTACTATATTAGCATGCTCGGTGGCACACCTGCCGGTGCCCTGGTAGTTAACAAGCTAGTTACAACTGGAAATTTCCTGATAAGGAAAGAAAGTAGGCAGGGTTTTGAATTTTGGGATATCACTGCCTTTCCCCAGAAAAATCTCTGCATATTACTTCCCTCTGTTACCCTATCCCCTTATTACTCCATTTGTTCTATCTTAAAATTCCCGTAATAGACATGGGAAAAGTAGATTAGGATGTTTGGCTCCAGCCTCTCTATTCTTTGTCCATTAAATAAAATTTGTGCCAAAGACACTCAGTTTTAGTTATGCAAATAGGCTCTCTATTAATAACAAAATATCCCATCTTTGGGAATAAATTTAAAAACCAGTGGGACCAGCAGATGCATAATGGTTATGTTGCTGGACTCCCACAGAGGCAACCACAGTTCGCATCCTGAACCCAGTGACTTAAAAGTCACGCTGGGCACATGTGCATGTGTGCCAAAAAATCCCGAGAGGAAAGTGGAGGATGGCCATACCCCCTGGAGAGTGATTTCTTGTTTTCTGTCTCTGTCTCTGGCAAAAATCTCTCTAAAAAAATAAACTGGTAACAGTCCCCTATGGGTGCCTTCTCTCTTGCTCTCGCTCTTGCTTTCACTGTCTCCAGCGAACGTGCACAACCTCTGACAATTAAAAACGAAACAAAACAAATAAATGGTATATACTATAAGCTTTTTTCTTCATACGAAAGTATACATCAATACTGAGCCATGCCATCAGACAATAAATCTCATTTCCTCAGCTAATACATCTGAGCTCTACTTTCTTAATAAAAAAGCAAGGTTTATATTCCCCTCAGGTTTATATTCACCTGACTGCACTGATTATAGAGATTCGTGGGCATTCAAGTCAGGGGCCTTTCTCTCCACTAGTTTCTATGCTCAGTCTCTACTATATTATAGTTCAATTCAGTGTCTCATCTGAAACGCTCAAAGCTTGATAGTGTTTCTTAAGCACTGGCAAAGATCATTTTAAGGGAGCACACGAATTTGGCAGGAGCCTAGGGCTCTCGGCGTCCTTCAATCAGGTATAGGGAATAGTGTCTCTGGTGGCCAGTGAGGAACTGCAGCGGAGGCGACCGGCAGGCATTTTCTATCAGAAATCAAAAACGTCTCATTCTATACTTGTCGCGATGAGATCCTGCCTCTTCCAGTTGGTCCGAACACGGCCCTCCTAAGTGACCCTTGCTCCCAGTCCTCGGCTGAGTGGCGTCCCAGGGACCAGCCCAGGTCCTATCGCGTGGCCCTGCAGTGTTTGGCCCTCCCGGGCGGCCTCCTCCCCCTGAGGGCTGACCCTTCGACCCGCCAGCCAGCCAGCGCCAGGCCACGTTGTCCTTGGCGGAGGTCAAAGCCGCGACAGTCCCGTCACCATGTGGAAGGTGGCCTGGGCCGCACTTCGAACCTCCAGGCTCCCTCTCCAGCCCCGGAGGTCGATGCCCACTTCGTCCCTTTCTTCCCCCAAGGCCGCGACCCTGACTGTGAAACCCAAGACCGGGCTGGCCGACGAGCCCCTGGATATTAAAGTGGAAGGCTTGGGCCCCGGCGAGCGGGTGACCCTGCGGGCGACGGCCATCAGCTACCGAGGTCGCCGCTTCCACTCACTCGCCCACTACCAGGCGGACTGCCGCGGGAGGCTGGACCTGGCCAGAGCCCCAGCTCTGGGCGGCGACTTCACCGGCGTGGAGCCCATGGGGCTCCTGTGGAGCCTCACGCCGGCTGGCTCCCAGGATCCCCGCCTCAGCCAGATGCCGAGGGGCGTGATGAGAAACCCCCTCAAAGTGGAGGTGACCGTGCACCGCGCGCCGCGGCAGCCGGCGGAGCCGCTGGGCCCGGCATTGGCCTCCGCCCAGGTGCAGCGTTGGTTCTCCACCCCCGAGCTGCAGCGCGCCCGGCTGCGAGCCCGCGGCCTGCGGGGCGTCTTCCTGGTGCCCTCAGGTGCGGAAGGCCTTTTCTGCGAGGGCCTGGAGGCTTATGAAAGCTAGCTTTT